GCCCCGCCTCCGGCGGCTGTGAGACCCTGAATCGTCACCACGTAGCTGCTGCCAGGGCTGTGCTGGGTCAGTGGGTGCTCAGTGACGGAGCTGCTCAGCCGCAGCCTCTCCACCTCCAGGAAGCCACTGTCCTGCGTGCTCCTCGTGGTGATGTTCAGCTGGGGAGAGGAGACAGAGCTGGAGGGCAGCAGCTCCCACCTGCCCTCTGGGAACTGCCCGCAGCGCACCGAGACAGAGCCAAGCACCCCAGCGAGCCTCCTCTTCCCCATGACTGCTCCAGTTGTGGAAAGCTCCCAGCGAGGAACTGGCAGGAGCGTTGGCCCCATGCGTGGACCTCCAAGCAGATAGGAGGAGGAGGAATCTGGAACCAATGCTCAAGACGTCAGAGTGGCTGCCTCTGCGAGCAAAGGACCAAGCATCTGTGAAGAGCTGAGGGCAAGAGGGAGGCTGTTCCTTTGCAGAGGTACACGTAATGAGCTTGAGGCCAGGTCACTGGCATGGTATTGCAACACTGCAGGTACTGTGGTGACTTCCCCCACCAGAGGAGCCCTGAACTGCTATTTCCTCCCACGGTCATCACGGCTTTCCCTTCTCTGCTCTCCCCAGGCTGCCTGTACAGAGCTCCAGGCAGGAGGCACCTGGCAAGGTGAGAGGGACTGTGGGGACTCCATGGTCCCCTGGTACCTGGTATCCGATGATCTTCCCTTTGCAGGAGGGCAGTGGATTCCACGTGAGGGACCCCGTGTTAGGATCCAGCCACAGCTTCTCTGGTTTGTCTGGCACTGGAAGCACAGGAGGAAGGGGTCATGCATGGGGCCAGTGAGGATTTGTCCACCACAAAGACTGAATGTGCCACAGTTGCAGCAGCAGCAATGGTGTGGTGAGGAGGGGGAGAGTGAGGAAGGGAAGTGCTGTGCTCCAAGCCCTGCACAACTCCTTCCCCAGTGCCTCACAGGATCTGATCAGCCCCAATCCCAGGATCATTATTGCAGGAATCTGATGACCATGCTGAGCTGCTCAGCAAAGGGGACATTTACATTTCATGTAGACAGACACATACCCGTTTCCTTTGTTGTGAAGATCAGTGTGTACAGGTTCGTGCTGGGGTCCCTGGAGATGGTGACACTGTAGACAGTGAAGGGCTGCAGAGGGGGACAGGTGAATGTTCCCTCCTGGCCGTGTAGCATCTCTTCTCCCCTCACCTCCTCAGGCTCGCAGGGAGGGGAGGAAGGCATGGCCAGACGGCACGTGGCCCACATGTACTGGCAGGCATTGGGGAGCCTGCAGGTCCAGTTCAGCTTGATACTGGTGCTGGAAATCTCCAAAGACCCGGGGACAACTTGGAAGTCCCCTGTGAAAGAGGCATTGCAAGAGAGTTACTTCCTTCCCTTCCCCTTCCAGCCTTGCAAGTTCAGACAGTCCTGCTTCCTACCCAGCTGGGAGGGAGGAAAAAGCACCCCTTTGGTGCTTTGGGAGAGCGCAATGGTACACATTTCTTCCCGGCCTTGCAGGAGCTGCTTCCAGGTCATTAAACCTCATGGCACCGGTCCCAGGGGACTCCCACGACCCTCCCATGCTGACTCTCACCCAGACACATTCCCAGCATCCCACCCCTGCAAAGTACTGTCCTGTTCCTGATGCCTCCCTTACCAATGCACTCCACATCAGACCGAATGTCGATCCAGTAACCTCTGCTGTTCATTCCACGCCAGACTCCTTTGTGTACAGGATTCCCATAGCTGGTGGGCTGCTCCTTGACCAAACATTTGATTTTGGTGAAGGATGGTTGGAAACCCTCAGGGCAGCTCAGCACCACTTCTTCGTTTGTCTTGTAACTCTGCTGGTCGGGTGCCAGCTGGAGTCTTGAGTCCCACTGGGGTTTTGGGCACGTTCCTGGTAAAGATGGAATTGGGTGTTAGTCGAGGTGGGGGGTGGCAAGCTGGGTCAGGGGTGGGTGGTGGGATATCAACAATCATTCAGTTTGGGGTAGAGCTGGGCAGACAAGAGAGCTCCTGATGCCTTCCTTACCAATGCACTCCACATCAGACCAAATGCCGATCCAGTAACCTCTGCTGTTCATTCCACGCCAGACTCCTCTGTGTGCAGGTTTCCCATAGCTGGTGGGCTGCTCCTCAACCAAACATTTGATTTTGGTGAAGGATGGCTGGAAACCCTCAGGGCAGCTCAGCACCACTTCTTCGTTTGTCTTGTAACTCTGCTGGTCGGGTGCCAGCTGGAGTTTTGAGTCCCACTGGGGTTTTGGACAAGTTCCTGGCAGAAGTGGAAGTGGATGTTAGTTGGGGTGGAAAGTTTCAAGGAGGTGGGGCAAGGAGTAGGTGGTGGGGTATCATCAACCCCCAGAAATTGCTCCAGCTGCTGAAGAGAGAGGCAAGGTGACATGTCAGTATGTGACCCCTCAGCAAGACTTACTGGGAAGGGACTGTGTTTCTGTACTGCTCAGGAAACACTGCAGGAGTTGCCAAGCTTGCCTGGCTGGTACTACCTTCTCTGTTGTCTCCTGCCTGGGCTGTCCTCTTCAACAGTTTGTACAGGCAACAGTGTCAAGGAGGTATGGTGGCATCCCTGCTGCTCAGCTGGGCAATGTCACACAGCTGTTGAGGGCGAAGGTAGAGAGGGGACATGGGAGAGGTGCTGCTGTTTCACTTACCAATACACTCTACGGCCCTCTCAATGTACATCCAGGCACCTGTGCTGTTCCTGCCCCACCAGGTATCTCCATAGACTGGTTCTCCAGAAATCACTCGCAGAAATTCCCTTGCACATTTGACCTTGGGGTAGGATGGCTCAAGATCTCCAAGGCAAGTCAGCGTCAGTACTTCATTCTCTTCATAACTGTCCTTGCTGGGTACAAATTGGAGTCTTTTATCCAGACCAAATGCCGATCCAGTAACCTCTGCTGTTCATTCCACGCCAGACTCCTCTGTGTGCAGGTTTCCCATAGTTGGTGGGCTGCTCCTCAACCAAACATTTGATTTTGGTGAAGGATGGCTGGAAACCCTCAGGGCAGCTCAGCACCACTTCTTCGTTTGTCTTGTAACTCTGCTGGTCGGGTGCCAGCTGGAGTTTTGAGTCCCACTGGGGTTTTGGACAAGTTCCTGGCAGAAGTGGAAGTGGATGTTAGTTGGGGTGGAAAGTTTCAAGGAGGTGGGGCAAGGAGTAGGTGGTGGGGTATCATCAACCCCCAGAAATTGCTCCAGCTGCTGAAGAGAGAGGCAAGGAGACATGTCAGTATGTGACCCCTCAGCAAGACTTACTGGGAAGGGACTGTGTTTCTGTACTGCTCAGGAAACACTGCAGGAGTTGCCAAGCTTGCCTGGCTGGTACTACCTTCTCTGTTGTCTCCTGCCTGGGCTGTCCTCTTCAACAGTTTGTACAGGCAACAGTGTCAAGGAGGTATGGTGGCATCCCTGCTGCTCAGCTGGGCAATGTCACACAGCTGTTGAGGGCGAAGGTAGAGAGGGGACATGGGAGAGGTGCTGCTGTTTCACTTACCAATACACTCTACGGCCCTCTCAATGTACATCCAGGCACCTGTGCTGTTCCTGCCCCACCAGGTTTCTCCATAGGCTGGTTCTCCAGAACTGACTCGTTGAAAATCCCTTGCACATTTGACCTTGGGGAAGGATGGCTCAAGATCTTCAGGGCAGGTCAGTGTGAATTCTTTATTCAGTTTGTAAACTTTTTTGCTTAATGGAAACTGGACTCTTTTATCCCACTGGGGTTTTGAGCACTTTCCTGTCAGGGCAAAAGTGTGAGAGTCCTTCTCAGGAAAAGGGGATGCTCAGGCAGGAGGGGGCTGAGGCTTTGCCGTGACTAACTGTGGTGTTAGCATTCAACACCATGAGAAAAACCCAAGGGCCCTCAAGTGCAGGAAAGGAGTGTGTGCCTGGGAAAGGCGGTGATATAGAATACTGGGAGAGAGGTGAACTGAGGGGCAGGATCTGGCCTCCTCTAACTTCCGCATAGCTTGCAACTTGGGAGCGGACAGGGAGGAGATGGAGGGGCAGTGACAAAACCTGTCCCACACTGAAGGTTTCTGTCACTCCATATCTTGGAGACTGCTGCCACTTTGGGCCCATCTCTGTGGCCAAGGTGTCTCATGGATATGACAGGATGTCAAAGGTCCCTCCTCGGGGAGAAGCACATGTAGCAGGGGAGACCTACTGCTCCTCCACTTACCCATGGAGCAGGTCAGGTTCTCTACCACTGGATGCCATGTTCCCTGAATGTCCTTCACCTCCCAAGCGTACTTCCAACCTGGAGATGTCCCTTTTGCGCATCTGATCACAGCAAGGTGAAGAGAGTCCTTCACAGAGCAGTTCAGTGTCACCTCTTCACTAAGCCTGTAAAACCTCTGCGCTGGGGTAAAGCGGAGCTTTGAGTCCCACTGGGGCTGCTCACATCCCTCTGCACAGAGGAGAAGAAGAAGGTGTAAACAGGTTGGAAAGAGGTCTGCTGTGTGGTTTGTTGCCCTGATTTTGACACTGTCCAGCTTGTTTCGTTACCACATTCGACTCCAAATCCTTCTCTTGCAGCCTAGAGCAGAGTTAACAGTGGCAGCAGTCCATCTCAAGAGCAATCCCATCCATCCCTACAGACAGGTAGGCTTCCCACTCAGGAACTGTTTGGGTAAGGCTGACCAGGGATTGGGATCATCCCCAGTCTTCACACAGAGGTCCTTCTGCTCCCACCGCCTTGGCCATATGCCCAGGAACTGTTTGAAGGCGCTGGGCTTACAGTAGTACACAGTGCCGTCATGCTTGTTCCTGCCTTTGAACCCCTCCCCAGGAGCACACACCCCTGGCAGCTGCCCATGGCAAGGTGCTGAGATATAAGGAGACCTGGCATTACCAGGACAGGGAAGAAAGCCAAGGCATCCAGGTCCTGGATTGTCACCAGGTAGGGCTGAGACATGACCACGTCACAGAGGGTCTGCTGTCAGCTTAGGACCTTGGGATTAGGGTGGTGTTGGGCTGTTCTTACCCTTGCAGGTGGCAGTCCCATTCCACAAGGTCTGGGTCCCGCTGGAAATGCATCCCAGCCAGCAGGATCCAGCAGCCCGGTGGATGCTGCTCTCTCCTGTGGTCTCTCCCCCAAAGACAGGGGCTGTGGGAGTGCACCAGCCCTCGTGAGTCTGTGCTGGTGCCACTCACCTGCATTCCTGTCATCCTGCTGGGCACGAGCTGTTCACAGCCATGTGCATGCTCATTTGCAATAAAAAGCCCACTCAAGTTGCCAATTCACTTTTTCTCTGCAGGTTACACTTGTTCTTTTCTCCTTTCCATTCCTTGCCCAAAATGCCTCCTGGCTCCTAGGACTGGGTACCACCTGTCCCATATCCCTCCCATCCTCACCCAGGAGGGGCAGCACCCCTACATCTGGGTTGGCAGAAAGGACTCAACAAGGGCTGCAGGTATGTATTTAACTAACTGCATGTTTAGTTGCGTTTTGCAGTATGTAGATTGGGCAATTGGTGGAAGTAAATCTTCGTATTCATTTTCCATTAGTTTCTAGACAGAAGTGCTGCTGTCTCTCTGCATGGCACTAATTTGGGTCTCTACCCTTTGACCAGATACCAATTTTCATGTAATAAGTAATGTACCTCTCTGTGAGCTCTCCTCATTCAACAAATTAATCTGTAAGTACCGAAATGCTGTGCAAAGTCACCAGAGTGCTGCCAGGTGAGCACAGTGAGTTTACACTGCCTCCCAACACATCCAAACGGCATTGGGACTCACCACAAAACCATGATTGCTCTGCACTCATTGTGCAGCAGTCCAACAGACCACAATAGACACGTCATCTCAGCCAGAAAAAAGCCCCTGCCAAATAACTTGAATAAATTCCACCAGACTGAGAAATCGAGCAGCGGTTCGTTCAGGCAGGTGAGAGCTACTTGTGAAGGTGTTTCCGATATTTCACTTTGCATTTCAGGGCCCAAAATCTTGCCTGTACAAAGTGTGTTCCTTGGTGGGGATCCTTCCAGCTTAAAGTCACAACAGCAACTGAACAATCGAAAAGAGGTTTGCAGGGCCTGATCTCGAGCAAGAAGCAGTTTGAGGGAATGAAACTCCTCCAGTGGAGACAGCCCCTGGAGCCAAGGGGGCTGTGAGTGCCCATGGGCACAGCTGGCCTCTCCCAGACTGGCCCAGTCTTGACCTTCAGTGCAAATGGGGCTTGTTGCTTTTCTTTTTCCAAGTACTTCCTTCCACGCCTCCTGATAGCTGTTACAGTCCCCGCAGTGGCACAAAACCTGCCAGCAGCAGAGGAGATGGCAACCTGCTGGGCAGGAAATGAGGAGGGAAAGGGAAATTTTCCTTCGTGCGCAACCTGCTGACACAGGTGCAGATTTCAAGAGATATCTGGGACAGCGTCTTCCTACAAACAGCGATGCTCTGCTGGCAAGGGTGGTTGCAGATGTATGCCAGAGCTCTGCCTTGCTCCTAGCCCACCAAAACTTGTAGTACCCTTGATGTAGCAAAGCATTTGCTGCTGATCCAGCCATGAAGGAGGTTTTGGACCTTGTACGGTGCTTCCTTACAGAGACCAGGGGTAACACTATGTTTAAAAAGGCCACATCTCATGGTTGCTGCTTTAGCAGTATAATACAGTGCAGAGTTACTGTAGTATAAAAAAGAATTAGCCTTTGTTTAAAGATTATGCTTTTTTTTTTTTTTTTCTTTTTTTACTAAAAGGTGAAGGTTCTGCATGCTGAAATTGGGAATATTCAGCATTATACTAATTACTGTTGCCAGGCACTTAGAACTGATCCAGCCTTTCCATGTCTTAGTTATGGGTGATTCACTGAAGCACTGTGTAAGGCTCCCAGCCTGCAAGTGGGTGTGAAGGGATCCCTTGGGCTGAGCTGGCGCTGCAGCCACACGTTTCTGACTAGGCTGGCCACCTTCACCAGGGCTCCAGTGAATCACTTCTCTTAAACCTGTGCATTTATCAGCCCTAATCCTTTCCCAGAGGCATCAGCATCTTCTCCCTTTTCTTCTTTTTTTTTTTTTTTTTTTTTTTCCTAGGTGAAAAGGTCCTAGCAGAGGTGCAGTTTTGCTCCAGGGCTTCCTCAGTCTTCCCAGTGGTGTCTGCTTAGGCATGAGACGCTGCTGCAACCCTGTGCAGCATCAGGCAAGGGCAGATGACTGAAACGTGGCTCTGCAAAGACCGCACGTGTGCCAGCAGTGTGTCAGTGGCCACATCTGCCCTTTGGGCACAAGGACTACCCCGGTGAGCAGTCCTGTGGGCAAACCCTCTTGCTCCCTCCTTGCACCTGGCTGTGCCTGTGGAGCGCCTTGCAAGCACCAGCGGGATGACTATCCTCTGCAACTCGTCCTTTCCTTTCCGACCCCTCTGAGCTGTAGGGGTGGTCATTTGGCCCCCTTTTTTCTTCCTTGGAGGTTCCCCTGTGCACTTTGGCCTGCCAGAAATAGCTGTTCCGTGTTCACGTGGGGCAGGCAGGGGCTGATACAGCACCTGGACCCAGGCTGGGCATGGACCACACCGCGCAGACCCCGAGGGCTGGGTAGGAGAGATCAGCAAAGGCAGGCAGAGCCCACAGCTCATAGAGCTCAGAACCCTTCCTGGTGGCATTTCTGATGACTGCTTGATGGTAAAGCCTAGAAGTCTCTGCTTCCCCACAGAAGAGAAGACACTTTTAGTCCACGTCTGGTTTTGTCTCAAGAACATCGCTGAATACAACCCAATTCAGCCTCCCTTCTCTATGATGTCCAAGCCTAGCAGGCATGTGGTTATCACTTGAGATTCACTGGGAGAAACCAATCCATGACCGCTGGGTGCAGTCAAGATGAACAGGCTGGGGGGGGACACCTCTGTCCTTGCCCCTTCCCCAGTCACTCCGTAACATTTGCCATGGGAAAAGATCTCCTTGGAGGAAAGGAGACTTTGCTCTGCCCAGGGTGGCTGTTTGTGTGCTTTGGTGGTGGCCATGGGGAGCTGTGCGGCACACATGAGTCAGAAGGTGTCGGATCTCCACCAGGCTGGAGTTCACCACTTGTGCAAAGGAGACGGATGCACGTGCCTCTGCGTGGGGGGACAGGGCACTGCTGGAGAAGGGAGGGTGCTCAGAGATAAAGGGGAAAGAAACACTCAGCTTCTAGCCTTGTAGGGACTAACAGCATCCGGAACAGTAAAGAAGCAGTCATCAGACACTGTTTTTTACCCTATGCTGTGGTATGCAGACTGCCGCCCACAGGACCTCCACCCCCAGCTATAGGAAAGAGGCTGAGACAAGTGAAATTTCTGCATGGAAAATATGGTGTAGACGTGACCAAACAGGCACCTCTTGTAACGTACAGTGTGTGCTCACTGCAAAACGGAGAATGCCAAATGCCTAGGCAGAAGGGGTAGCAAAATGTTAGTCCGTTTGCCTCATATAGCCAGAGATTAACCGTTATGTTAGCTGACGCTATTCAGTGAATACCCTCCTTGTTAATATTCTTTAATACCCATGAATATAGTAAGCATTTCACAAAAGTATCTGGACTGTCTGTCCCTGCTGCAAAGGAGTTATGAGCCTGGCAGGCAAAACAAAGCCCCAGCATGCTCCAGAAGCAGACGTCAGGGAGGATCAGGAGAAAGGAGAAATAGCTGTGCTGGTAATTCAGGTCAGGCTCCTGGGTTCAGCGCTTTGCTTACCAGCAAAAGATATACGTTCTTACATCGTTTTATCCCATACAAGAAGAATAAAATAAATAAAAAAAACCCAAAGTAAAATCTAAGGAGCAGCAGGCAAAGTTCAACCCTTTTCCCCTGGCAGCTCAGCAGCTAACAGAGGTAACAGCAAAGCGCGCTGGAGTCTTGCTGTGTTTGATGCCATGTGCGTGCCGAGAGGAGCTAAGAAAAGCAAGCACTGTTTCCACCAGTGGAGAGTGGTATTGTAAACCACCGAGAAGACATGCATGGGTCTTAAAGCCTCTCGTCGCTAGCAACCAAAGCTGCGGAGCAGGTCTTTAAGAGCGATGGGCAGTGTGAGGTTCGGGAAGGGGCAGAGAGACCTTGGGGCTGCTCTGCTTGTGAGCGGTGCCAAGGAAAGGAGGCGGTGAAGAAGGACACCGAACAAGTCACCGCGGGAAGGAGAAGGAAATGGCAGCGCTGTAACCGGTACTGCTCTGCCATGCAAAAGGACATCCGACACAGTTTCAGGAACACAATGCGAAATACTTGTTTCCTGAATCTGTGCTCTGGTAACGGGAAGTGGAAGCGTGGTGGAGCACACAGTTCGCAGCACCAAGGGTGTCCAGCCCCAAGGCGCTTCTCCGCAGCTTCTCTGAGCGTTTGTGTTCCCCACAGGATTTACTCTAGGCACTGTTTGAAATTCAAGTCCCACTGACACCAAACCTTTTGGTTCGAGTGTGGCCTTATTTTACCTAGCACCCTCCCACCCACCAGGCATTGCAGCTACGGTCCCAGTTAGGGCTTGTTGTCAGCTGCTACTAAATCACTGTGTAAAGTCAAGCAAGGCTGGCGAGAAAGGGGCCAGGGCCAGCGAGGAAAGCATCCCCTAAAAGCTTCTCCACCTGCCTCTCGGGCACACGGGGACTGTAAGGAGATGAGGCTTTCGTACAGGTGAGGCATCTCAGGGGAGAGAAAAGCCCTGTGAGAAGAGCACAGTAAGACAATAAGGTGACAATAGGACAATGAGACAACACATCCTGCTCCGTGCCTGGTGCCCTGTGACGTGGTGAGCAGAGCAGCAGTGCTGCGCTGGTTTGCTCTTGTACAACAGGCACCGACCACATCCTCTGCCTGCAGCTGCTCTGCTCCTCCCCGGGCTCCCAGTGGCACCACCGTGTCCCCTCAACTCCCACCCAGCGCTGGAACACAGCTATGCCGTCTGGCCCCGTTTGCTTGGCAGCTGCCAAGCTTCATGGCCCACGGCCCTTCCCCAAAATAATTGCCATGCCTGCGACTTTTCAGGAGCCGGTGCTGCTGGTGCTCAGTGCTGGGGGGGAGAGACAGGGCGAGCTGGGAAAGGCAGCCCAGCAATTTTGGCACACTGAAAGGGGACAGCCCGACATTACCCGGCACCCTGGTGCTCCCCAAGTGTGCAGGGGATTTTTTGGATGCCTGGGAGGGCACAGCAATGTGCAATGGGAGCAGCTTGTCTACTGTCCCCACGGGGCTGTTACCCCTCCCTGATTGTACCCTACATGTGCCAGGGTCATGGCAGATGCTCAGGAAAGGGGGACCTTTGGGCCATGTTCTGTTCCCATGTCCCTAATCTCTTCCCAACGGCTTTGCCCTGCCTCACTGCTACTGTCTGCCCCGCAGAAGCCCATTCCACCCTCATGGGGATGGGAAGGACTCTCCAGCCCCAGCCTGGCCATCCCCCTTGTCCTGTCCCTTAGTGAAAGAAGGCCCCTGATCCATCCAGTGGGGACCTCGGCACAGGTCTCGCGATGGAACAAGCCCACGTGCTGAGGATGCAGGCAGGGCTGCCTGCACTGCTGGCTGCTGCTGCCAAATCCCCCTTGTCCTGTCCCTTAGTGAAAGAAGGCCCCTGATCCATCCAGTGGGGACCTCGGCACAGGTCTCGCGATGGAACAAGCCCACGTGCTGAGGATGCAGGCAGGGCTGCCTGCACTGCTGGCTGCTGCTGCCAAATGTTTTTGTCTTGGTTCCTCTTTTCACAAACACCAAGGTGCAAACTCAGCAATACCGTCTCTGCCGCAGCCAGCCCCAGATTCCTCCAGGGACAGCTGGGTGACCGAGATGGGCAGAGTGTGCCAAGAGTCTGCTGGCCAACAGGTCCCCACTGCATCCCACAGCATATGATACAGCCAGTTCCTGGCCTTAGCGTGCACCACGCAAACAAGCTGGAGAATCATGCAATGCTCAGTCACGGTTGCACATGCTGGCCTGAGAGGACAGCTTCACTGGGGGATCTGAGCAAGGGGAAGCCACTCTGGGCAGGAGGATAACCTTGGTCGCATGTTTAGCCCTTGTTTTTTGAGTGACAGTGCGCTGTCAACGTTCCCTGCAACCACAGGGACACATTTTCCATGGGAACAGGATCCTATCATTCATATGACACAGTACAGACCCTGCCATCACTTCAGATCAGCAACTAAAGGTCCTGGTCACATTCTCTGGCCTCTATCATAGCCAGGGTCCTTAATCAGCAGGTTTCTCTAGCCTGCGTCAGCTCAGACACGTCCCGGCTGTGGGTCAGGGCAATAGAAGTAGATGCTAGTGTAATGGCTTTCATCACTTAGCTCCAGCAAAATTAGTTTAGAGAAATACTCCAATTCAGACAGTGCAGAGCAATGCAATGTCATGGCCCCTGGACCACAGCTCAAACCCCAGACAGTGCCACGCTGAACTGATCCACCAGCCTTCTGGGAGGTCAGATAACATGTGAGCCTGAAGATACCCGGTAACTGACTCTGCAGCCTGTGTAGGAAGAGCCCATCAAAACTCTGGGGGTGCCCTGCCCCTCTGGCACCAAGAAAGCCCGTTAAAGAGCAATCCCAATGCATAATAACTTCTTCCCACAGGGTGCCCTGGAGAACACAGGGCTTCCGCTCACAGCTCTTCCAGGTCTTTTCTAGGCACCAGCACCCATCTCCAGTGCAGTGAGGACATGGCATCTACACACCATGCAAAGACAGATAGCTACCTGCTGCTCCCAGGGACGCTGCCCACTCCAGGGAGGAATGATACAGCCCCTGAGGAGGCTTTTCCAATACACTGAGTTTTACCGCTCTCCGTCCCCAAACAGAGCTTCACCCCACCACAACCCAACTAATGCCTGTGTGTCTCAGGCCCCGGTATGAACATCAGCTCCAGTCCTCTCTGATACAGCTACTGCATCTAGCATGCAGTAAAGAAACACAGCAACCTTGCAGCAGGAGAGCAGTGAAACCTTCTCTTGCGGGATGAGGACCGAGCACTTCTTACCTGTTTCCTGCGGTACTTTGGAGAAGTTGGTGTCCGGCTCGTCCTGCTCCAGTGCTGCCAGCAGAGCTGTGAGGAGCATGGGAAATACCCATCGCAGGGCCATGTTTGCTTATGCTCCCAGGGCAGGACTGATATCTCAGCCCCGCTGGGTGCCCCACAGCACACCCGTCTGATTGCAAGAGGTGCAAGCACAGAAAGGAAACAGCCACGCAGAGAAATCACATCTGGTGCAAGAGGCTTCCTCATTGGAGAGGGAACCTCCACCAGTGTCAGCGCCGCTTTCATTCTTCTCTTCTGTGCACCGGGGCAGCTTCACACCCCTTTTGCAATCTTGCTGCTCTCTGGTCTCTTGTCTGAAAACCAGAGTTTTCAGGCTTTCTGGCAGGAACAACTACTAGCCACAGCAGCTATGTTGCCTCCTCTCCTGGCACAGATCTCAGCAGTCTCAGAAGGACTTGTGAGCTGTGCTGGTTCATGGTCCTCCGGGTTTTGCAGAAAGATGTAGCTTCCATACTCACGTGGTAAAGTCAAGCAGAGACTACGTCAGGACAGCCCTCACTCTGTTACTTCTTGATAAGGACTGTAATAAAAGGGACTTCTGAAATGCACTGATGATCTTTACCTGGCAGTGTCTGCCACGGGCAGGAAAGCAGATGCTCGGGAAGAAGCTGGCGAAAGCCTTGGGGACCTGGAACCCAAGTGCTGCGGCAGGTTGTGTTGCTGACACATGCTAGAAGAGGGAATGACCGTGAAGTGGTCAGAAGGTGGCACAGGCGCAGCAGTGGGCAGGGAAGGGGCTGCTGGTGAGTCTGTCTGTGCAGCTGGTGGCACTGGCCATGGCAGCAAGCCCCACCATCAGAAGCGGCCCAGGGCAGGAGTCGATGAATTTGTGTTCCGGCTTCCCCAGCTGCCCAGCAGCCCTTGCTGGATTGTGCTTGGCCCACATCCCAGCTGAAACACAGAGCTGGGAGAAAAACAAGCCCTGACATCTTTTTCTGAGGCTTCACAGCAGGGCTGTGGCCCCTTGTGATGGCCTTCCTTTTTATAAGGCTCTTCAGCAAGGCCCATGTCTGGGTTTCAGTTGGGACGGGCTTAATTTTCTTCCTAGTAGCTGCTGTGCTTTGGATTTAGTATAAGAATAATGCTGATACAACACATATTGTTTTAGTTGTTGCTAATTAATTCTCATATGTAGATATGGTGTAGGGGGGAACTTTGTAGAGTAGGGTTGGACTCGATGATCCCAAGGGTCTCTTCCAACCTAGACATTTCTATGATTCTATGATATTAAGACAAGGATTTTTCAGCCTCCCATAGAAGCTGAGAGGGAGCATAGACAGGACAATCTGGCCAAAGGATTATTCCATACCACAGACATCATGGTCAGTGTAGAAATGGGGGTTGGCCAGGAGGTAGAAACCCACGATCACTGTGCGGAATGGGCTGGGCAATCGATCATCGGGTGGTGAGAGCAATTGCATTGCATCACTTTTTTTGTATAGTCTATTATTATTATTATTATTATTATTATTATTATTATTATTATTATTATTATTATTATTATTATTATTATTATTCCTCTTCCATTACTGTTCTATTAAGCTGTCTTTATCTCTACCCATGATGGGTTTTTCTCCTTTTTCTCCTTCTCCTCCCTATCCTACTGGGGGGAGGCAGGTGGAAGGGAGTGAGTGAACTGCTTTGTCATCCTAATTGCTGGCTGGGGTTAAACCACAGCAGCCCTGTACTCCCAAGCCTGGGGTCAGGCTCTGCTTTCTGCTGATGCACATCCTCTGCTCAATTTGCACACTCTGCAACACCTTTATTCAGCAGCATCGAGCAGGTCAGTGTGGGATGGCCCTCTCCAAATACACTCTCCCCAGCCACTCCAAAAATCTGACCCTGAGCAAAACATGGTAGAAGCCTTGTTTTGTTTTTTTTTTTTTTTTTCCTGCAATGATAGTGCTCGAGGGCAGACACTCCAGCAGCCTTTTACCTCTCAGGGATAGAGCTGGAGTGTTTCCCCACTACCTTCTTTGTGCCCTCCTATGCTCAGGACAGCAGTCTCAGCCTCTTCTCCCTTGTCGGTGTTTTATCTCTTCCCACAACAGAGCTGGCAGGGTGAGTGGTCCCACCCAGGGACCATAATTGCTCAGACTATGAAGCTTACCTGTAGAGACTTCACCATAGCCAAACACGCTTGCCCTAGCAGAGGCACCCTGGGGCTGCAAGCGCAGGTCAGGACCCTGCATTGCAGCAGGGTGCATCCTGGGATGTAGCCAGGAGGTAGCTGTGGTCCACCTTAGTGGGAATTTAGGGAGGTAGGGGGAAGCAACTGCTCCTTTGCTTCCAGGAACAGTAGCAACTCAGACATCACCTCTCCCTGCCCCTTGGTGCTTCTGGGTCTCTCAAGAAATAATTAAAGAGCTGCAAAAGCAAACTATATCAGTAGGAATAGATTCCTCATTTGGAGGATCTTTGGAAAACAAGTAGAGAAATTCCATAAATCAAAAAAGACTAAAAAAATTTCTGTGCACCACTCCCAGCACAATGGTTGTCAGCTCCCACGTTAACCGTATATCTCCAAAAGCCCTTTATTACTCCATCTGAAACCTCAAAAGCCATGGAGGAAGTGTGGACCAAGCAGTTGCCAGGAAGGTCTGTTGCTTTCTCGCTCTTCACACTTCCCTTTTGTCCACATCAGAAAAATCCAGCCTTGAGTGTAACCCAGGCTCTCGCACAGAAGACGGAGGGGTGTTGCATCCACCTTCTCCAGCGGGTCCAGCAGCTACCAGCTCTGGTCACACAAGGCAAATGCAAAGCCACAAAGACAGCTTTGGTTTGTTTCCAACAAGACAGGACGTGGGCTTCTTGGTTTGGCAGGTCCCACTGCCTCCCCCATGTCACCCCATCGCAGACCGCACCCGGCAGATCTGGCACAGCCGGGAGGACGGGCAGGGTGTATTTCAGCAGGGTGTATTTCAGTGGGGTGTAGGCAGGGACCTGTGTCCTGCTGCGACGCCAGGGTCCAGCTGCCACGCATGTGTCCCATTTTGCTACAAACCTGCCAGTGCGCTGGCATTTGAGCCACCTTTCACAGCAATCGTGCCACCCTGAGGGACGTCACTCCTCCGCTGCGAGGACATGCTCTCCCATTGACCCCACAGACTTTGTGGCAGAATTGGAGCTCTTGAAGTGTTTGCAAAAAGGACTGCTGGCCACTTCCACAGGATGTTCCTCTCTCTCTTTTTTGTGTGTCTTATCAAGCTGTTACATCTTACCTGCTTGATACTATTTTTTGCCATCTTGATATGACTTCAGCTCTTTGAAAGGGCCTCTTTCTTTTGAATAACCTCTGGCACTGGTGGTTAGCCCTGCTGGTTCCTCTCTACCTTTTGATAACAGATGCCCTGAACGGCTACTTTAAATCTTTGCAAGTTTGCTGGACACTGTGTATCCATGCTGCTTTTTTTTGCTTCACTTCATCCAAGTTTCCTCATTTCAGCGTTTCCCCTTTCTGAAGCTGAACAAGATGTCACGGGACTTTTCAATCTTTGATGATTATGTAGGGTCATGGAAACGAACTTTGTTGCGGCCATCAGCAGCGGGCAGCCCTTTCCTGAGAACGTGCTCTGTCCATTCCTGCAGAGAGCTCAGTTCCCCATCTTTCCCCCTGGCCTTGTGGTGCACGTGGAGGACCCACACGCCAACGCCTTGCTCGCCTCTGCTTGGTATTGCAAACCAGCCATCGGGATGCTGGAAGACCAGCGGCAGTAGTACTACACCCTGCCTCTTCCTTTTGTTTGGGATTCCTGTTCCCAAAGGTGTAACTGTGGTGCAGAAGGGTTTGGATCCCCCTTCTGAAGCAGCGACCCCATTGCTGGGGCCACACGTTGGAGAAAGGGCTCCTGCCTGCTCCTGGCCTCCTGCCTGCAGCTGGAACTTGGTGCCTGCACCCACATGTGCAACTCCCCTGCGTTCCCCTGCTCCTCCAGGAGCAGCACCTAGCTTACCTCACCTAGCTTGTCCTCACCTAAACCTCCCGCAGAAAGCCACCCATGGACTGCACACAGCTGATGGCGTGCAGAGACAGACTCATGTCCCATGAGCATCGCAGCAAGGGGAAACAGGGGCTCTGGAGCGTGAAAGCCACTCGTGGGCAATGTTGCCGCTAAAGTTCATTCAGAGGAAACCTCGGGGGTTTCATTGTACAGATGGGGGCACTGAGGCAGAGAGGGAGTCAGGGAAGGGGCCGAGGAAGGAAGTCCACACGGCAGACGCCGATTTCAGTGCTGAGTCCCAGGACGGTGCCGCAACCACAGTGGTGACCTTCCTCCGGCTGAAGGGGAATTGAGCAGCGCCTCAGAGTCTGGCCCTGGCTCAGCACGCCTGGGCTGCTGCCACGGGAGAAGGCACAACAAACCAGGGACCTGGGAAGCAGCTCCTGGGACCCTGGGCTGGGATAGCCACGGTGCAGGGAGCTGGCTTGTCCCCAAGCTATGCTGCAGCTGGGCTAGTCTGGAAGCTGGATGTTCAGCTGTTTTGAGCATGCACAAAGCTCTCAGGCGTTAATGTGAGCTCATACATGGTTTGATGTCCCCAGGGCAGTGGTTGCAGAGGTCAGAGCCATCTGCGTGCCCATCCCCAGCCTGGCAGCCCCTGCCCTGTACGGCACGGCTGCTGCATGGAGCCTTGTGGGACCTGGGGATGTGTCACTGCCTGCTGGATGCTGGCAGGGTGGGGATGGGGTCTGGCTGACAGAAGGGGCACAGGAAGGAAAGGCATTCCCCGTCCTCTCCCAAAATGTGGGTCTTTCCTTCAGACACACACGTCCCTGCTTGCACCCCATGCTCCCTTCTGCATGTGTCTGCCCCATACCTGCTCTCAGGCTCAGTGCTGCCTGCAGCCCTCGCAAGAGAAGGGTTGATCCCAGCAGAGCATGAGCCCGTTTCCCACCACATCGACACTTCCCCACTCGCTCAGCTTTTAGTGCCTTGAAAATCTGCTGTGTTAATGCAGAACCTTCTTTATTCTCTGTCAGACGCCACGCGATCGTGGTGACACGGCAGTCACACTCCCCTGCTGGGGCCTGATACTGGCTGCTACAGAATCTGTTCAATGAGACACTCTCTGCTTTCCTGCGAGTCTTGCTGGCTGGCACGGCTTGCAGGTCTGTCCTTAGAAACTGTTCATGACATCCTGGCTCAGAGAGGGAACCCTATCAGCCATAGGGTTCCCCGTCTGAAGACAGCTCTCCTTCAGCTTGCTGTGGCTGCAGACCCCCTGGGCCTCATGCTCAACCTTGGGGCTGCCTGTCCCCCCCTCTGTGAATCCTCTTCCCACCTCTCCCTGCCTGCCCTTACTCCACCAGCCCCAGCCCGGCAGTTTGCTGGTGCTCAGGTGCCTCCTCCTTTCCCAGTCTCCCACAGCAGCCTCTGGGAGCTGCCAGCATTGCTTCAGCCCTGGCAGGCATTAGGGGCCATGACCACAGCCTTTGCCCTGAAGATGAGCCAGGTCCTGATGACCTGAGCAGAGAAGGTCCATGAGGGACCTGCCAGGACCCCCTAGCACCTGGCACCAGCAGGTCTCTCTCTTTCAGCTGGCTCATGTCCCCCAGGTTGTCATGCATGTCTGGACTCCCATGGCACCCTTAACCCACCCCCCAGCCACGCTGTCACCCCATACTTTCCCCTGCCCCACCACTGGATCCCACAGTCCCCCACCACCACCCCAAAGCAGACCCCTGTACCATGAAGCTGGACTCCTCTTTGCTTCCTGCATGGCGGGTGCTCTGCTCCCAGGGTTCATCCCCAGAGACCAGCACTTCTTTGCTAAAACCTACTCTGACATCTGCAAGGAGGGCAGGAGCAACTTTGCCGAGCAGCGGCAGAGAGCTGCCTGCAAGAAGTAGGACTGGAGGACAATGATGCTGCTCCAGGACACCGACACTGCTCCAGGGCACCGCACAGGAGGGGGACATGGCTGAGTGTGCCTCTCACTGCTGGTCCAGAACTGTCCCCAGCCTCTCTCTGCGCCTCAGGCCATGCAAAGTGGGCACTGGGCTGGGTCTGGCAACTGCTCTGCCCTGTGCCCACGGAGGGCAGTGGATGCAAGGCTGGTCCTGGAAGGCATCCTGCCACTGGGAGGCTGGGAAGGGATTTTAGTTGGTGCAGCAACGAGGCCAGGGACCTGCACCATTTGCTAGAGTGAAGGGTTGGTGGGTTTGGGTTCAGGGAAGCGCCCAGGAGGTGTCATGCACACCGCATGACCATCTTACCTGCTCCCATCTACTCTGGAGATGCTGACAAAGGCTGTGGGCCAGCACCTCTCTTCATCACCACCCACAACCCACACAGCACCCACCTTTCTGCCGCTGTGTCCCAGCCAAATGGGTGCCAAGGGATGCTGAGCTGTCCGTGCCAGGGGCTGGCTGAGCTGCCATCCCCAGACCATCATCTCCAGGACACAGCAGCACGCGACAGCTCCTCTCCTTGGTCAGCCTACTCCCGGCGGTACTCACGGCCCCATGTCCCCATCAGGATCCCACAGCTGATCTCCTGGGACCAGGCCACCAGCTGGGCCACCCAACCACAGCAGCAGCACTAGCAACCACTGCCCCATGCACATTGTGGTGTGAGTTCCAGCCATGCGGGCTTCGCGGGCTTTGTGCCCCATGCCCAGTCCCTGATTGGGGATAATCACCAGCCAGACCCTGCTTGAGTTTAGCCAGATGACCCCGAAGAAGACTTTAGCAGCTGTAAACTCTGCAGGAGCACCCTCTGATGCCCTAACCACCCTGCCATGCCTGCCCTGCATTCAAGGCAGCCCCGGCAGCCAGCACCCAGCGGGCTGCTGCTTGTCAGTGCCAGCAGCACAGGCAGCTGGAAATCCCCTCTCCTGCTGTGGCACACGGTCCCCTTCCCCATTTGAGCCAACCTGGGAATGTGGGGAGAACAGCCTTGCTCTGCTGACCACTGCCCCGACCACCACTCCATTGGACAGGTTTATTAAGGCAGCCCATGTTCAAGCCCTGGCTGCTTCAAGCCTTTTCAAGCCAGGACAGGGGCTTACACTGCTTCATTTCCAGATTTTTTTTTGACTGTTTTGACTCATTCCACCACTGCAGATTGTTTGTCCATGTGGATGCAACAAGCTCCAGAGTGGTGTCCTTGCAGCAAAGGCTGGAGCCTCAAGCAGAGATCTTCCCTTCTCTGTGGAGCTGCTGAGGTGTAAAGGGAAGGGATGGGCTCTTGGGGCAAAAAACTTGGAGTTCCAATACTTTTCCAAGTCTAAGCTTAAAAGCCCTGGAGCCCTTCCTTGTGAGTGACCCACATCCACTGAGCCTCATGCCCAGCTTGTCCCAGGCTCTGGGTTCCAGCCCCACAACCCAACCTTCATGCCACCTCTCTGCGCTGCTCAGGACTTCCTCCCACTGCCTGCAGGTTACAAGTTCCAGTTTGGCCGCACCTACAGACACCTTGCTCACAACATCCTGGGCACCCTGGGGAAGCACGTGCCAGACTGAAATGGTGTAAACCCCTGTCTGAAACTTGCTTGGTCCCCTGCTAGCATGCAGAAGGAACAAAGACAAGGAACCTCGAACAACAACTGTCTCCCCGAGACATACCATCAGCTGATGATGTGATGTAGTCCCCCGAGCCAACCTGAGTTGACAAGTCTGATAGCTGGGGGCAACCTATCTCCTTCCGAAGGTCTGGTGTTGGCTGTGGTGGAAGCTGGATGAAGCCTGCAGTGCACCGTCCCAGCACAGGTAACCCTCAGACCCTTCTCAGGGACGGTTGGGCTGAAATCACAAGGCTGTGTAGCAGGGAGCTCAATCAGCACCTTTTTTATTAATATGCATCATAAATAAAGAAATAAATAAAGGCAAGACACCTTGTTCTAATGGGGAAATACAAATTAAATATGGTGCAACGTCTGCTAAGCGATGTACAAGCAGGAGGTAACCTTGCAAGACCAGGGCCCCTTTGCCATGGGGAAGCCAGCCCAGGCATAATGCTGTGAGCAGTATCAACCCGGCCAAGGCACCAAATACTGGCATGGCCTTTCATTAACACTGTTCCTCACCTGACGGGCAGGTGAAAATCCCCATCCCAACGGGCGGCATGAACATGGCAAGGAAGGGGTTGACTGGCATTGCCTTTACCGAGGACCCCAGGACCCCCAGCATCCCCTTTGTGCTTGTGCACAACACTCGTCCCCCCCCACCCCACGGCACCTCTCAGCAAGACCAGAAACCCTATGCCAAGGGGAGCACCAGCCCTCCCTCCCCAGCTCCCCGTCTCCCTCTGGGAGCACTCCCTGATCTACCTGTCAGGAGCACTGCCCCCAACCCCAAAGAGCATCCCTAGCCCAGTCAGGGACCCTGTCCTCACCCCTCTCCCCTCCAACCCCCCTCCACTGAGCATCCCAGGGCTTCCCAGGCACTGGTTCCTGGCTCAGCGTGGAGGGCACAGGGCCACCCCCCAAAGCACTCATCTCTGCACAGGGTGGCACTACCCATCCCGGACCTACGTAACACTGAACATCCACGTGCCTTCCTCACGACCCCATGCCCCCCTTTGCTCTGCACACACACACATATCCCGTTCCCCCTCCCCTGGCCGTGGCCAGGCACAGCCCCAGCCCTGCTGCATGGCAGTGCCAGGCCACTTGGCCCGGTACAACCCACCAGGCACCACTATAACATGTTAGGACAGGGTTCCTCCAGCGCGGGGGAACCTACCTTAGAGCTCCCCATCAAACTGCAATGCAACCCATCAGCCCAGCCTTGCAGACATCTTGTCCATGGATGGTGCTCCCACCCCTACGGCTGATGATGCCAGGGATGCTGAAGGCTGCAGACTGCACTGCCACCCCTGTGGAGGGGACAGCTAAGCATCCTGCACCCTCCAGCATCAAACTGAGCTGGGCAGTGGGGCAGCACTGCCCTGACAGGGACTGCTTGGGTTTCTGCTATGTACGACTCCATGGCCTACGGTTGCTGGAGATGGCGTGGGGTGGAGGGGGCGCAGGTGGTCCCCGGTATGGCTGCATGCACGGCAATGCCTGGCAATACAAGGTGCAGCTTGCAGAAGACCCTGGGGGCCAAGTCGGCCTCTGGCAGCTGCATGAGGAGGAGCAGGAAGGAATCACCTACGGTTACTGTATTCTGTAATGGCAAGAAAGGTAAGAAACTAGCAAGAAGCTGTGTCTGTTCCTCTGGCAGGGTGTGCTTCCCCAGCAGAGCCGCAGCAGCCCACGGTACTGTGCTTGGCATTCCAGCTAGGTCAATAGTCCTCGTCCTCCGGGTGGGTGACGTACATGATGGGCACCAGTCCCTTCTCGGAGCCGAGGCTGCACTGCAGCCAGTCACCGTCCACCTTGGAGATGACCTGCAGGATATCCCCCTTGTTGAAGCTCAGCTGTCCTGCCTCGGTGGCAATGTGATGGCAAAGAGCTTTCACCTCACTGCAGGCAGAGGGAGGGGAGGAAGGGTTAGTTCACCACAGGACACTCACCCTGCTGAAGCCCGGGGACCACCATGGGCACAGAGGAGTGAGGAAAAAAACCCCTGCGCCTCCCCACCCACCCAGGCTCCCAGCTGCCCCTTGACTGCAGACTGCAGAGTTGGGGTGGATGGATGCACAAGCTGCATCACTGCCCTGAACCATCCCCTGGTCCACAAGTATAAAGGGGGCCAGGCAAACTGCCACAGGCAGAGCCATGCCAACCCCAACCCACCATGTCCCAGCACCTGCAGGATGACCATGCGGTGCCACTCACCAGGGAGGGTGGGGAGACAGCCCCCGGGCCAGCCGCGCTGCAGGGGACACTTCAGGTGACGCTGGCTGGCGCGGCTCCGGCTCAGGAGCTGCTTCTCGCCACATGCTTGCCCCGACCGTCTGGGCCACCAGCTGGAAAACAGACTTGTCCAAGCTCAGCCAACCAGAGGGCAACCTGAAAGAAGGAGACAGAAGCAGGTAGTGGCAGGGAAGCGTACCTGGGGGCAAGGAGCAGCTGCCATCATGGCAAGGTCATGCCTTAGAGGTCTGGATCCACGCACAAAATGCACTGTGGTTCCCAGGCTGTCTCCTGGCAGGGAGGGCTCAGCATCCTCCCAACACACCATGGCCTAGACTGGGAAGGACATTTCCAGTGGCCATAGAAGAAAGAAGGGTGCAGAAGGAGAGGCAATGCAGGGGGGTCTCAGCTACATGGGGAAACTTTATGCCTCCTCCTCCTCACCCTTTGTGTGCAACAGAGATGGCTCTCTGTGTTCTCTTCTCACTTACTGCACACTTTTGGGAGGGATGAGGTGATGATGGGGGTGGTGCAACAGGAGGCCTTCCCCTAGAGAGAAGGCTTAGGAGCCAAGGCAGGAGACGAAAGCCAGTGAGGTGATTGAACTGTATGAGCTGAAGAGGGGAATGGTGGTGTGGTAGGAAGTAAGACAGGCTGGCAGGGTTGGGCAGGGGTGACAGACGTCTCTGTTCACACACTGCTTCTGGTGTACCACCATGGTGTAGCCCAGTGGTCAGCTGTTGGCCTGACCTCCACCTGCACTGCTGCAATCCCAGGTTAACCAGCCCTCTCCAGCCCCAAACCATCCCAGTCCCTACCTGTTAGGCTGCCTGGGCTCTTTTTGCACCTTCCTGGACCCAAACAAGTGTCCCCACTTGATGGACTGGCTGCCCTCGGATGCACTGGTGCTGCTCTCCTTTTGGGGGGCTGCTGCTGCTGCTCCCACTCTTTGCTGAGTCCCAGCCTCCTTCTCCTTGCTGCGCTTCAGCTCTGTAACCACCGAGTCTGGGGGGCTGCCCATCCAGAAGGGCCAGCTCCATTCCTTCACCTCTTCGCTGACCAGCACCTGCTGGGGTTTTTCCAAGGGCTCTTCCACAGCTTCAGGACTTGGCTTGCTGGCAGCCTTGGGTCTCTCCTCCAAGGTGCCCTCAGCAATGGGGCAAGCCTCTGCGCCCTCCACCACCCCTTCGCGGGGGGGCGGTGCCTTGCAGGTCTCCGCTGGCCCGGGAACAGCATTCAGAGCTTTCTTCTTCTTCTCATAGCGGATGAACTTCGAGCCTTCAGCTGAGCCCTCAATGTAAATCTGAGAGCTCTGCATGAGCTGGTACCACCAGCCCGCCTGCTTGTCCTTCTTCCCCTCCCACATACTCTCTCTCACCTTCCTCCGCTCGTCCTCCCTGTCGACATCTCCGCAGGAGGCTCCCACCCCCTTGACCCTCTCACTCACAGCTTGCCGGGAGCTGTGGCCGGGTGACATGTCGCCATCTCCGGCATCCGCTTTGCATGCTTCAGGGGCGGTGCTGCAGCCGTCGGGATCTTCGCTGCTGCCCCGCGTCCGCATCAGCTGCAGGGTGGAGTGTGCGGAAAGCAGCAGGTCCTGCTTCACACGCAGCAGCTCCTTTTGCTGCTGCTGCTCTTTGCCCATCTGCATCAGGTGGTACTCGAAAAGGAGGTCTAGGTTGAAGGGCAGCAGGGAGAGAGGCTGGAGCAGGAGCAGGAGCTCCTCGAAAAGAGGCTGGCACACGCTGTGGGACAGGCACAAGAAGCCCACCGGCTGGTAGTGTGCCAGGATGATATCTGTAGGGCAAGAGACATTAATTAGAGGAGAGCTGCTTGCCTCCTTTGCCAAGCCACCAAGAAGCTGCTGAAGCTGGGGGGAAAGGAGTTGGACACTAGTTTTTGGTCACAGCCTCACACAGCAGTGTGAGGCTCAGCACTGGGTCAGGGAGCACCAGATGCTGTGGGCAAGCTGGCCCAGGTCCTGCTTCCAGTCACACCTGCAGCCAGGAGCTGCCTGCCAGGATGACCTCTGCCACAAAATACCATGGGAGCAGGGTGCAAATAAAGAGCATCAAAGGGTTGGCACATGCCGAGATTCACTTCCCCGTCTCCTGGAGAAGAACAAGGAGCTGCAGATCTGGCCGGTGCCAGGCCCTTGCAGAGAGAGGTGTTGGGGACAGCCAAATACAGTCTTTCCAGGGACCTGGCTGGGCTGAACTGTGGATCCTAACAGAGAATGGACTAGTATTTCTACCTGCAGCATTTGCCCTTCACTTCACTTGGCCGTATGCCACCAGCTTTGTTGTCAGGTCTCACTCCCAGGGAGAGGGCTGGGAACAGGATTTGTGGCCATTTGGCCCCAGTGAGATAACAAGGTTACACCACAGACAGGACTTGCACCTTATCTCCAATCCCTTTGCCTAGCCTTCATCACCCTGACAGCCCTAGCTATTGCTCATGCTTCCAGCTCTTAATGGCTCAAAACAGATGGTCTTCTTCTGCTCCAAAAAAACCAGGGTGCTTTCTCCTGCCACGCTGCTCAGTACAAAGGCAAGTCTACTCTCCTGCCTGCTCCAGAGAGAAGTGCTGAGTGCACACGCAGACCTGGGAAATGTCTGCTGTCAGCCCCCAAAACCTGTCAGAAGATACTGGGCTGGACTTCTTGCAGTGCATGGGGCCCTGGGCTGGGCACAGGCTGAGCCAGCAGCGCTCTCAGGGGATCCAGCAGGTCGAGGGTGTCTGTCTCACTGCACACTTAGCACTTAGTCACGCTGCTTCTAGGCACCAGGCAGCTTGGTCATGCTGCCGGGTTATCTGCACGCTCTAGAAACGTGTCTGGTTGAAAGAACAGATACATGCACTAAAATCTGTTTTTTTCTTTGTCAGGGGGTTTTCCTTCCCGTTTCTTTCCAATTCTCATGCCTGAAGGGTTTCAGCTAAGTGTGCACATCTCCAGCGATACAAAGCTCTCAGGCACTCGGCAGGGAAGGGAAAAATTTGGAAAGGGTTAGATCTGGTCTCCTGCGAGTAGACTGAGGGATCTGCATTGGAAGTGACAGCCTTGGGCACTAGCTGCAGCTGGGAAGGACATGGCTGGCCAGATGCAGGTAGACGGAGCTGCCACGGGGCTTTGACCTTGCTCCCTTGAGCTGTGCAGCCCTCCAGCAACACTGGGACTGTGTACAGTCTAGTGCTTCAGCCCAGAGCAGATGGGAGCAGCCCAGGCTCAGAGACCAACAAGAGACATGCGTGCTCCAGAGCTTCGATTTGTGCTCTACATCGAGCAGAATTTGGTCCCAGCTGCAGCCCACAGTCCCCAGGCTCTTACCTTCATGGTTGTAGAGGTGGTTGAACCAGAACTCCAAGGACCGGATACTGCAGAAAGGGAAAACAAGCAGGGAAAGAAAGAAAAAGTGAAAATCAATTCATCCCCTTCATCCTAGCTGTTCTACAAGAAGTGTGGCTGGAAAAGAACATTTACAGCATAGCCCTGTGAACCTCAAGACCTAGCGAAAGCACAGTGGCTCACTCCCATCAGCATGCCCTGACCACAGCCACCCAGTCTGCCATGGAGCCATCCCGTCTGCTTTACACGAGGCATTGTGCAACCATAACCCCTAACAACCATGTTTCCAGAAGTTTCCTCACGATTTGGCTCCTATGTCCTTGGCAGAGCTTAGCTTTGCTGAGAAGCGCTGAGGTGGAAGAGGGAAATCATCTACAAACATGAGACCATTGCTGCAGGCTTGGCCCAAAGTATGCTGGCATCCTGTGCCAGAAGGGGACAGCTGGGCCACCCTCAGTGGGGAGAGCAGGACAGAGCTTGCTCCTGCTTGTAGGGGTCCCCAGCATTTGGAGATCTTGGGAACTCTGTTGCCACTGCCAGAGCTCTTACTGATCACTGGAGAGGAGCAGAGGAATACCCTCCCAGCAGTACTCATCCCTTTATCACTGCCTTCTTCTGTTTAACACTGAGTGTAGTCTGTATATTCCTTATCCAACCTGGAAGGGTCAGCCTTGAGTCCCGGACCAGGGCCATTTCTCTTTCAGAGCCTCATGCAGTGGATTCACTGCAGCTCCAGGAAGCAGTAATTTAAGCAGGGATTTTCAGGAGTACTTTATGCATGTCTATCCTTATACGAACCATGACAGACAGACTCTTCCCACCTAATGTTCTGGGTCTAAAAGAAGCTGACAACGTTCTTCAGTGGGCTACAGCCAGTGCATCTCACTTGTGGCCTGGTAGGGGTAGGTTTTGATCCTTCTGGAGTTCCCTGAGGCTCACAGCTTCTTCCTTCTCTCACCTACAACAGCTTCCCAGGTTTCTTAAGTCTTTTCATTGGCAACTGTGCCTGCCTGCAGTCAAGTATCAGCACCTGCTGCCAGCCCTGGACAGTGACATGCAGCCAGCCCAGGGAGCCTGCTTACTTGAGGAGGCCAAAGAGGAATGCGTTGAACCTCATGGTGTGGTTGGTCAGCTCCGTGTACTGGCTGATCTTGCTATAGAGGCTGTGCAGCAACTTGGTAGAGGGACCTATGGAGAGAAGCAAAATGTGGAAAGTCAGCAAAGCCAAAATGCCACCATGGGAAGGAGCATCAAGGCAAAGACAGACCTTGTCTGGGTGCCCATGCCTGTATGTGCACTGCCCCTCCACCAATCATCAAGATGAACTTGCTTCACAGTTAGACTCCACAAGGGAGATGGGTTGTGGTCTGTCCCAGATGGCCAGTCCAAAACTTTGTGAGAGTTTCAATACTGCAAGGACCTGCCTCCCACACTTCAGGGACAATCATGGCCCTTGGCTCAAAATCGGCAAGTAAACAGAATATTGTGTTGGGTGGTCATAATCTGGGGTGTCTGCAATCAGAGATGTAACCCCAGAGCTGGAGATTTGTCACCAATAGGCTAGAAGGCTTCCCAGCCCTGGATGTAAGCTCTTCGTGACACAGATATCAGTGTGGCCCTGCCGTTTGCAACCTCAGAAAGGAGTTCTCATGGATCTACCATCTACCCTTGTCACAATCCAGGGTGCAAAACTGATACTAGCAGAGGGTGCAGGTGTGGGCATGCTTGAGCCAAGTGAGCTGTATGCGCAAATTTTCTTACAGACCACGCTAGAGCACAACTCCGCCTTATACAGTAGCTGTGCAGGGCTAAAGATGAAGGTCTAGAAATACTCTAGAAACTTAGAGGGGGAAAAATGGCATTATTTTGTTTGTTTTTTTTTCTTTTTTTCATTGCTAGGGCCTGTTATAGGAGAATTTGGAAATTTTAGAAGAAATGACAATAAATATTTGGGCAGAATAGACCAGTGGCTCTCCTGCCTTGCAAGAGAAGGTCAATGTGCACCCTGTTCCGTGCAGCAAGCTGGGCGTTGCTCTGCATCCCCATCCTTACAGCCAACCTTCCCCAGCACCTCCCAGCCACAACACGGGAGTACCACATGTGATGGGCATTGCTGCACACCCTCCGTACCCAGCTGAGTGGATGCCTCCACCACGCTCCAAGGGATGTTCCTCCTCTGGCCAATGATCATGTCCAGGACGTAAGCCTTGAGCCCATCACTCAGGATATCCCGGACAGCAGGGCATAGGTATTTCAGGATGAGATGCCCCACATTGGGGCTCACAGAGCTGTTCCCAAGTTTGGCCTGAGGGACAACAACGTGCAACAGGGAGAGTGTTGGTAACTGCTCTACAAGGTACAGATGCATGCAAACGGTCCAGCCCCACTTGCCTACCACAGACACCCAGCAGGCAATATCCAGGCTACAGTGATGCTCAGAAGCTCCTTGAACTGACAGGCTCTTCCCCTTCCCCCCTGCTGCCTTATACACCAGTTCTGAGTTGCTCCAGGCAAGGTCTGCCCCAGGCTGGGATGAGGCAACAGCTTGGGAAGAGAATATCCCAGTCAGAAAGGATGCTTGGCTCTGCCTACAGTAGGTATTACAAGGCTGTCCTGCTGGAGGAAGAAGAGAGTAGGGGATTTTTCTGCTGCTGTAGATATTCTTGTTGCTATTTTTGAAGCAGGAAGCAGCAAGCCACATAGGAACTACCATCACTAAGGGGTTAAGGAACACTTAACTCAGTGACATGGCGAGCTATAATTCCTAGGGATTACTATAAATAAACAGGGTGAGGGCAAAATGGATGGACAGAGCTCAGGTTGAGGTGAGGAAGCATGTAAGAGCCCAGCATCAGCAGAACGGGGACATATTCTGCTGCATATAGTCCTTGAGCTGCCAAGGGGTCAATCCAAAGAGGTCAGCCCCAGGCCTCGCACATCATGTTGGTGGTCCCAAGCAGTCGTGTTCAGGGCGCAGATTTTACCAGCTGAGCTGGAATTACACTGGCCAGTTGGCACGGGTCCACAAAGGCCTTGAACTGAGACTGAACTTCTGGGTCAGGAATAATCCTGCCAGATCCATCGAGCGTGGGAGCATCAGGGACGGGTGCTGCCTTTTGACAGGTGGATGCTCAGCCCGAGGCACACCAACGCATAACAAAACCCCAGGTCAAAACCACAGCGTATTCCGGTAAATAAAGTAGTGGGGGAATTTTGCAATTATTGCCCAAACCAACACTGCAAGAATTGGAAGTGAAGGCTTAAAAAGCTGTGGGAATCCAAACAGCTCCGGTTACACTGCACAGCAATCGCTGCATCAGTAACAATTATAATTAGGGGCAAATTACCCCGCGCTCTGAGATAAGACTGAATGGGCTGGGAATCTGACCCAGTCAGGTTTCTCCTTGAGGATGGCACTCCAGAGCAGTTGTCATGTCCAAATAGTGTCACGTTGCTGCCCCAGAGTCCCCAGAAATAAAGCAGAGCATTCAGCACTGAGAGGAGGCACCACAAACATGTTGAGTGTCACAGGACTGCCAACGCTGGCTGATACAAACAGAAGTGAGCTTGCTCTGCTTCTGTGTTATTCCAGAAATGGGGGATGAGGGAAGCATAGGCCAAAGACAGCCAGCCCCATAGGCAACCTAGATGCTCTCTGAAGCCAGTGGATTCATGGGAAGGGGTATAAGGCATGTTCACCTGCCCCAGACGGGGCATGGACTGATGCATTTTTTTTATCATTATGGAGCCCTGTGACACATGAAGGGACTGGGGACACTGCACTGTGTGACACTCCTGGCATCAGACCAGAAGTCCAGCTGGCCTGGTGTTCTCTCAAAGAGTCATGAGTAAGTACAAAAGAGTGAGTGAAACCAGAGCAAACACATATAATATTTGCCCTTAATACTCTCGCAGCCTACAACTACTTTCAACTCAGACACTACCTAAGCTGGACATTATTCATGTGTTTAGTAGACCTCAATGAATTTCCCTTCCCCGTGTTTTCCTGATCTTCCCTTAAATGCATGTACTCTTTTAGCACCCCCAGCATCATGCAGCAAGAATTGTCACAGACTTACTATGTGCTGCATGGCATACCGTCGCCTTTGCCTGGTTTGTTCTCGGTACCATTGCCTCATTGCGTACCCTGTAGTTTTTGACTGGAAGAGAATGGAAAAGCTACCTTTCTCCATCCTCTCCATGTCACTCATGATGTTGAAAGCAAGACGTACCTTCACCCCTGGATCCCTGCTGGTTCCAAAGTGAGCCACAATCAGGTCAACAGCAGTGTTGATTGCCTTCACCAGACCTAGAGGGAAAGAACGAGTCAGAGAGCTACCTGAGAGGCTTCTAGGACAGACCCTGACCAAACAGCTCACAAAGAACTCAGGCAGAGGCATTTCAAGCCCGAGTCAGTGCACATGACCTCTCTGCCAAAAACATGCAGAGCCCCTCCTAAGTCCTCACCAAATCTATACCAGCTGGTTCCAGCACTCACTTATCAGCCCAACAGTAGGACAACCTTTAGAAGTGACTAAAGCATAAGACACCCTGTCAATATTCCCATTGGGCATGGACCATCACCTCCATGCACCACCCCCTGAGGAAGCACAGATGGGGTCTGAGACAATGAGTCTTTTGCTGCTTTGATGCTAACAAGGTGGCAGGGCAGAAGCCACACGTTTGGCAAGCTATGTAACGACTTTCAGTAACAACCCAGTGGTGGGGAATCTGACATCTGCATCAGTAGGATGCAAGAGAAGAAGTGGAATAGAGGGGAAAGATGCCAACACAGCTGAGAACAACAGGTAAGAACCAACACATAGCTGGCAAAAGCATGGGAATCTTTCTGCACATCCCTTGCCTCTGCAGTGACACCTGCCAGCAACACAGTCCCCAACCCTGCCTCTAGCATGGGTCTCACCACAGCCATCCATATCTTGCCCTGCTTTGGAATCCCTTCTCCCACCCTTTTATATAAACAATTTACCATGTAGGACCCAACAGGCCTTTTACCTAAATTAAAAAATCTCAGGTGAGCACATCTGCAACGTCAAACCGATTCACAGGTCTACCCTTGTATCTGTGACAGAGGTGGCAGCCAGGGTCATAGTCCTGCGCCTGCCTCCTCTCTCTGCCCTTTTTGTGGACTTAAGATCCTTTCTAACCATACTTCCTGGTACAAGCAGCACAAACATACTCCGTGGCACATGTCATGGTGCAGAGAACTCAAGAACCTGCTGTGGAAACAGCCATCAGTCCAGGAAGACATGTAGTTATGGTGCTACAGCAGAGAAGGGCAGGGAAAGAAACCATTATGTCTACAGAGATGAGATGAGACAGAGAGAAGCGGTGTTCATCTTATGTTGTGCTATGCCACACTCTCATCCACGAGAGATGCACGGACTTACCCTTCTTCTGCAGCAAGTCGATGGAGATGGACTCTGTGTTGCCATCTGGGGAGAGGCAGAACTCAGCGGGGGGTTTCTCTGCTAGTGAGAAGTAGTCAGGGAAGAAGTCAGTGTAGGTAAGCTGGAGTTGCCTCATAGACTGTCCTGCAGGGCCAAGACAGGGGGAGAAGGATCAGTCTGAAGCCCTTATACCAACTCCTCTTGCACATTGTTTGCTTTTCCCAGAAGCAACCTGCACCAGCAGGAGCATTCACCCCAGCTTGTCCAAGACTGGGACAGCAAGGTTCCAGGCTTGTTTTTCTCCCAGCAAAGATCTGTAATGTAAGCCTGTAGAGTTCAACCCCACAGCCCACCCAACATCTAGCTCCAGCTTGACTGGGGGCCCAAGGGCACTGGAAGATGCTGTGGGAGGTTCACCCTCATGGGCTGGTACTGAGGGAAACCTCACTGCACCAGACTCTCAGGGCTGCTGTGCCCTGTTCCAGCAAGTGCAGAGAGGGAATCCCTACTTGACACACAGGCATTCAATGGCAACAAACTACATGTCTTCTGTCTGTTCCCTGGGATGGCCTCTGTTTTCAATGGGTGACTTCTGCAGGAGCTCTTTCACGTGCTCGATTTCCATATGGTTGATTCCCCAGCTCTCTGCTAGGCATGCATCTTCCCGTGAAGGGAGGATGGAGAAACTGTTTGGGCTGGCAGACTGAGGTGTAGAGCTTTGGGGAATTCCATCCACAACTTGGGCCTGGCCTGAAGAACGCTCTTCTCCCCACAGACAGACTTCCTGAGGAACTCTCAAAGGTTCAACCAACAGCAGCCTGCCCTTCTCAGCCCTTCCTGAACATGTTTTGGAGGACAGGGAAGAGCTTAGAGGTAAAGCATGGAGAAGACAGAGCCCCACGAAGCCCTACAGTGTTGCTAGCTGCCCCATGAAAGCTACAGACCAGCACCTAGCATGCTGCCAGGGTTGGGGCAGATGGGCAGACACCATGGGGCACAGACACAAGATCTTCAAGGGCCACAACTCCTAAACAAGACATGAACTACAAGCTGACCATAGTTCAGGAGCACTTGCTGGGGTCTGAGCCATCTTTTGGGCCATTCACTTTCCCCTTCAACCCAAACTGCACTCAGTGTGTGGAGAAGAAGGAAGGCTCCACACAGAGTGTACCCATCAGTGAGGCAATTTTCACCTTCCTCTTGTACCTGTTGGCCCCACTGTGAGCAGATGCGTCATCCCTCCTGCAGACGCAACAGTGATGAGGCCAGGCTGAACTTCAGCCTCAAGGGATACTGAACCTGAGCGCCAAGGTCACTTCCCAAAGCATCCCCCCCCAGCAGAAAGGCAGTGCGCACCGTTCAGCTTGCAGTGGAAATGGCTGGTGTTGAGAGTGCCAGGGAGCTCAAAGATGGGGTTCCCCCGGCTCAGCCGGGTCTCTTGCTGCCTCCTGTCTAGGCTGCTCGCTAAGCCAGGCAGTCCCGAAACACGGTCCAGACCCAGAGGGTTCCTCCGCCTGTACTCCCGCCACTTCAGCGCTTGGGGGGAGAGATGGTTCGCTAGGATGCCGCAGGCAGTAAGCACCAGACGGGAGGATGTGAGCAGCCGGGAGGAGGTGGAGGGGAAATGGGGAGACAGGAGATGAGAAAGAGGAAGGACAGAGAAAGAGACAGCACATTAGTTAAAAGTCCAGCAGCGTTTCAGGACGTTAGCACACATACATGGTGGGAGGCGGAGGTCACAGACTGCCAGAGCAGCGCAGAAGCCGGGGTGGCCTCATGGCTGCGGGCATAGAGGGAGCAGGTTTGGGGTGCAAGCACCTGGTGTGGGGTGCTGTACGATCAGCAGCCTACGCTGCCCTCTCTGGAGACAGAGTGTAGGAGTTGGGACTGGAGGGACATGCTCCTAGTGTAGGATTTTCTTTTGCAGGCAAAGTGATGGTGGGGGCTGTTGGGCACTGCAGCGACCAGATGCAATTTTGCCGCAGGCTGTGGCTATAAGCGAGGGTGGTAATACAGGGAACAGCCATAGCCGTAGGGAGCTGGAGATGTTCCAGACTAGCCCGTCCTGGCAGATGGGTACCTACCATTGAGGGGCCGTATTCCCATGCTGTTCAGGGGACCAGAGGTGCTGGTCTCACTGCCACTTCTCCAGTGGGGATCTGCATGGCCTCCCACCCTGCTCACGGGCATACCACCCACCGAGAGGGGTGGGAGGGACCCACTGTGGAGCCGGTACTCAGAGAGCGGTGGGCTTGGTTCCAGCGGCGCCTCCTTCTTGGGAACCGGCTTGGGGTTCTCCTTTTGCCTCAGGGCATCGGCTTTGGGGGCTTGGGAGGACTGCATGACACTGACCGCCGGGGAAGACCTCGTGGGCAGCAGGCTGGCGGAGATGGGGCAGGACCTGCTCCTGGGGGGCTGGCTCTCTCCAGCTCTCTCCGCGGTGGGCGAGGAGGAAGAGTCCACGCTTTGAAAGAAAGGCACGTTGCATCGCACAGGAGAGTAACTCCCCAGGGGGGATGGCCGGGTTGTCTCGGGGGCGGGCTTCTTGATGCAGCCATCATTGCGGGAGGCAGCTCCGTCTGCCGAGCGCTGGGTCAGGAGTGCGCTGTGGGCTCGGGTAGGCCGGTTGCTGGACAGGCTGTAGAGTTGGGAAAGGCTGGAGGCAAAATGGCTGTGCAGGGCACGGGCCTTGGGCGGCTTGCTGAAATGGTGCTGGAAAACAAAGGGCTGGATGGGCAGAGTGGTGGGACGCTGGTCCTTGCTGTAGCGTACCACGGGCTTGCTGTCTGTGCCACCACCTTCGGGGAGAGAAAGGGGGACAGAGTATGAGGATGGGCAGAAGGACAGTCATGTTCAGCCCAGCAGATCGCAGGCACAAGGGAACATGCTCTCATCTGTGGGAGGAAGAGGATGAGCTAAAGGCCAGTGACACATGCAGAGTGGTTCAAGTCTGAACTGGTTACACGCATCGTGAGCTGGCAGGGTAAAGACATGTGGCCCCAAATGCAAAGTTTCCAGCTGTTGACAGCTGTCTGGAAGAGTAAAGCACTGCACCAGGAGCTTGTCTCTCCTGGTAGGGTCACCAGCTTCATATACCTTCCCCATCCCTTGCTCCCAGGACAGCACAAAGTCCCCATGCGCCTGCCCTCGACCTGCCTCCGCCCAGGCAGGACCACAAAGACATTGATTATTTATAAGATTTCTTATCCCGAAGGACTGTCCCCTCCCACACGTGCTGAGAATTCACCCAGCCAAGCACAAACATTACATGCAGGAGCACCGCAGCTCTGCATCCCACATCACACCCGGTGCTGTCGGAAAGGCCACTTGTTTCCCCTTCTCCCTCTCTCTTCTTTCTCCTGTAACTGTCCCCCGCTCTGAACACACTGCTCCCTTCATTCCCCTGCCTGTACCAGACTTAGGCAGGATGTTCTCAACCAAATCAGGACCACAGCAGTAACAGAAGAGCTTCCAACCCTGTAAAGTGCAGGTCTGCTCCAGCAAAAGATGGACAGGGATGTCCTAAGGGAGTGTGCTGGGCTGACTTCATATGCATGCACGCCTCCAGATTCTGGTGGGGCCACAATATGCTGAAGGACACAGCTGAAGGTGGCACACTGTGCACCCAGTGCACAACACACACAACACTGGATGCACATATGGGGCTGACTGGGACCCCTGACCACCAGCCATGACGCATTCCAGCACAGTGTGGCACCTTCTCACTTTCTTCCTCCTCACTCCTCCAGTCCATGGCAAATCCTGGGACAAAGGACCCGTCCCAAGCACAGCCCTGGTGTCAGTTGCTGCCTGTGGGGTGTGCAAGGCCTTCCTCCCTACAGCTAGCTTTTGGCAGGGCTTGGTTTCCCTCCAGTCCCTTCTCAGACCCTCCAGGCTTGCATGTGCTCTCCCCTGGAGCAAGGCAGTTCTGCCTCTATCTGCAGCTGCAGGCAGGAGCTTTCTGCGGAGGACCAATGCCTGTCTTGCTGTCATAGTGCAGAGGAAGGGACTGCAGCAGGGGCTGAAGGAACCGCTAGGGTATGTTGCTCCTATCTGCCCCCTCCTCCCTGAGCAGCTCTTGCTCCTTCCAAGCACTCCCCCTGAGAACCAGGAGAGCTGCTCCCATGCTGCCTTCTCCCAGCAGAGACCTGCCTTCCCTGCCATCCCACACTGAGCACATGTTCAAGACTCGATAAACAAACAGGATAATACCTAAAAACCTCTTGCCCCAAAGGCCAAGATCTCTCCCACACCTACCGTGGCAATGAATGACATGTTCTTCATACCTCCTGCCAGAAAACTTCAGGGCATTAAATGGAGACAGCCTTGTCCTTGGCATGTTAGGGGCTATCTACCCCAGGAGCCTGGTCAGAGGCATTTTAGACAGGCTCTTACCTGTGAAGCAGGTACAAGAACTGTCTAGGGCAGAGACAGAGGTCTCCTGCCACGCTGGAGAAATGGCCATACCTCTGATGGGGCTGTTGTCGCACAGCTTCCTCATTAGGACAAGTCATGGCAATATAAAGATGGAAAGCAACTCACGTATTACAGGCTTTCCTGCAGAGGGAACTGTGACAATTACCCTCTACAGGAACCTTTGCTGCAATCCAATGTGCTGTGGAGGATATGACCGGGGTACTCCACCAGAGACACACAGCTCCTCTAATCTCTGCAGGACTCATGCTTGTAAGTCCCAGCAGAGACTGTGTGAGCTCCCTGCACCGAGAGGAGACTGCTGGCTCTGCCTCTTCCCTCTCTACCTCTGCACTATGGAGCTCCAAAGAATAAAGGCTAAAAACTCCCCAATGGTTCCCATTCCCTTCCCTTCATCTGCTGGGAACATGACTCTGTGGAGTATCTTCACATCTCTGCCTTAAGAGCTAAAGGCAGGTGATTGTCTTGGACTGGGGGAGCACAATGCCCTAGAAGGGGCTGCACAGACCCTAAGTGCTAATGCTGTGTCCTCCCTTACATGGTACGAGAGGTTTGCACAAAACCTCAAGAGGCTTTAGAAATACAAGGACAAGACACTTGCACTGATCTGGGTCTGATATAAGCACAGCAGGGCTTTGTCCCAGGGAGTGGTAGCCCAGGAACCAAACTGCACAGGCACTCATCTCCCATCACCATGCAGGTTCCTCTGCTGCTCCCCTCATGTCCCAAAGAGCAGCCTTTCTTTTTACTTCTCCATTCTGCCTAGTTTGTCTCCTTACCGTCTGCTCGGGCTCTAACATCTCTTTGTCCGTGGCCACTGGCAGAGCCACCTGAGAAGCTGGCATCTGCCTCCATCAGCAGGGAGAGAGAGGCTTGCTCACCTGCCCCATGCCCACTGGGGACCTTCTCACTGGAGACCGAGTCTTTGGTGGAACACAAAGCCTGGCTATCCCCAAAAGTGTGATTCAAACAGAAGCCGTCACAGCTCCGGTTCAGACCATGGACGAAAGGCATGGGTGGAAGACTCTGGCTGCGGCGAGCTCTTTCTTCAAGGAAGGCTGGGCCATCCCGTTGTGTCTCAGGGATGGGGGAGAACTCCAAGGAGGAATCACCACTGGACCGGAGCGGTGGGGAGGTGCCATTCTTCTTCCGGCCTTTAGCTAGTTCAGCAAAAGATGTCACTCGCTTTGGGGGGGAACTCTGGATGGGTATAGCTGGACTTTCACTCAGCTTGACCGGACAGCTCACCATGCGCTCCAAGGAGCCCAGCCTGCTGCTGGGACTCCTGTCCAGGTTCTGATCATAGCTCCTGGAGCGCTGCCGGCTTGTGTTGAGGTTAGGTGGTGACACATTCACATAGACCTGACCCTCAATCATGTTCTGGGTGGCTTCTCCCTTTGCCTCCTCTTCACGGCACTCCACGTTACCTTCTTCTTGTCTCAGGTCAGGCCTTCTAAACAGATAGTATTCAGTGGGCTGGGCTGGGCTACCTTTGGTATGGTCTTCTGAGCAGCTAGTTATGGAAGATCCTGCTGGGCTGGGGGATGACTGGGAAGACAAGTCACACGTGACTAGTTTATAATAATTCTGAGTAGCCACAACGAGCCGTGCTTGGCTCTGGAAGCAGGCAGTGAGGTCTGAGCTCTCTGAAGTACAAGGCTCACAGTGGAGGTGGTAGGAGTTGCAGTTGGCATCAAGGACTGGTGAGGAGGAGTGTTGACACCCACACACCTTCCCTGAACTCTCTGGGTGATGCGAGTCGCAAGACATCTTGGATTCAGTGGGTGATGAATGCAAATCCAGGTAAAAAGCTCCTGTGTCTGAGTGGCTGCAGAAGGAAGAGTCACAGGACAGGTTGGCTGAATTCAGGTTGGATCGAGAATGGCCATTCATTTTGTTGTAGAGGGCACTGAAGTTCACCAGCACCCCATCAGAGCTGTTGCAGGAAGAGTCACTGATGTAGCCCATCTGTTGGTCAATCACTTCAGACTGACTTGATGAACTGTAGCAGCGACAGTGCTGGAGCTCTGAGCTGGAACAGCTGCACGTCCGGCTGCGCAGAGCATCTTGATTCCTCAGCAATTCACCTGTGTTCTGGTTCCACTCCTGGTCACCACCATCGAAGGAGAAGCTGGAGGAGCTGCCGCGATGGCAGCTGCATTCATCCAGCTCCATGCGTTCTGAGGCCTGGTGGCACCTGTTCGCATTGTTCCTCTTCTGGACGTCATCACTGCTTATTTTGTCCTCTTGCCCGTCTACCACACCGGACCGGCTGGCCATGTTCCAGGATTTCACAATGTGGTTGGAGTCGTGGAGGTGGAAAGGGGGTAAGGTCAGCTCGTGCAGCTGAAAGGGAGGTTTGCCAGCCACAAGCGAGTTGTGAAGGTGGAAAGATTTTTGGCCCAAGTCATCCCCAAAGATGCTGAGGTCTTCACCCTCGCTCAAAAAAAACAGCAGGAAAGGATTGTGCCGCTTACTGACACTAGGGACAACCAAATCCCTCGCTTTGCCTTCTATATTGTCTGAGGCCTCTGCTGAGGTTTCAGAGGTCTGGAGAAAGCTGCTGTACACCAAGGAGTCAGTCTGTGAAAGGTCTCTGTCTGGAAGGGCAGAGGTCCGTGTAATGCTGAGCTCTGGCTGGCAGAAGGGGTTGGTCCTTTTGCTCACGGAGCAGCACTGTCTATCAGGGACCTGGCAATGCACCAGGGGAATGTGATGCACAATCAGCGTCTCACCAGTCAGTTTGGGTGGACTATCCATGGTGAGGAATGCTCTTCAGGACATCAGTTAAGCTAGTGCTACCCATGGACAGGTAGGGCTGCACATGAGAGGCAGGGAGGACACTTTTCATGAGGGAATTCAGATACCTAGAGAGAGACAAAAGCACAAAGGAAGTCACCTCTCAGGAAAGGCAGTGACTATTTAAAGCATTCTTGGTTTGACTGAAGGCTTCACGTGCTGACAAGGACCAAACAAACTGGTCGTTGTCACCGCAAGTACCCAGGCACAAGGTCCTGAGTTGTCCTTCTTCAGGGAAAGCATCGCAGTGTAAGACAAACATGTCCCCCTCCCTGTAGACTCCTGGGACAACACTTGTGCTTCCAGCTGACCCCTCTCAAACTCGTCTGAAGTGAGTACCCGATTTCACTCAAGTGGCCAAAGCGCTGCACAGACTTTGGGCCAAATGAAGACCTCACTGCGGATGGCACTGTATGTTCACAAGAAAACACACAGACAGCACAGGGTCTGAAATGAAATGCTGCACTCTGATGAGAGCAGTCCATCTTCTGACACTGGATTAAATATCTTTGCCTCCTTTTAGTTATCTTGAACTTTTCTTTAAAAACTAAACACTGAACGGCACTGCTGGGCCTTGCATCTTTAGAAACACACAGGTCCAGGCAGAGACTGGAAAGCAGGAACAGACTGGAACAGGAAAGCAGCAACAACCATTCCTCTCCAAAATCCCCATGAGGTCCTGAGCTCTTTTAATGGTGCCAGGGGAGCATGCTAAAGTATGCAACTACTTATGCACACAAGGGCCTCTCATATGAAAAGGAGCAGATGACTTCAGTGGGGCCATGGGGAGCCACTGGTGGTGGTTAAATAAGTCCCGTACACCACACTGCCTTCTGCTGACCATTAACCCTCAGCTCAAACTGGTTCCTCTTGTGGTCCAGGGCACCTGGTTCACAGTTCTCTGACACTCTATCTGTGGCACTTATCTGCTTATCTTATTATTTGGTGCACTTCACAACAGAATGAGTGCCACAGCCCACGGTCCCAGGAGCCGTACCGTACCGGCAGGGCACTAAGAGCCCCACTCCCTCAGTGTTCAGTAACTAGCGGGTTCACATAAAGCTAGAGGAAGATGTTACACAGCATTTGATACAGGAGAGCAGAGAACATACTCATTCCTCCTTCCTCACCTCACACAGAGGTCCAGTCTGCAAGTGCCTCCAGGACAGGCTGGAGGGGGTTTCCCTCTTGTCTTCCCTTCTACATGTCAGAGAAGCCAATGTGGAGAAGTGCATGGGAGGGCAGCTAAGTCAGAAAGGAAAGGGAGAAACCACAAAAGACAACAGCGATCCAGGATGATCCACATCCCATACCTCATCCAGGCATCCTCAGAGCTCACAGCACCCTGACATCGCATACTGTGATGCTGCTCTGGACTCCAGGACCTCAGGTCTGCTGCCACCACTGACCTTCAGACTCCAGAAAGTGGCATTCACAGTATCTCCCTTTGCCTACCTTACCCCCAGCATTTGTGATATGGGATGACAACGGATTTGGAGCAGAGCTGCAAAGGCACATGGGAGCCCAGAAGGGAAATTGAGAAATGTGGGATAAGTGAAGTTAGAACAACAGTGTAAGCAATGAGACAGCTCCAAAGAAAGATCAGGAACTTCAGTTCTTTCAGTGTCATGGCGTAAGAATACCAATTAAAGGCTGCTAAAAAAAAAAACGATCAAAAGCAGTACTTTCCTCCCACGCATAGTAGTGCTTCTCACAGACACAAGATGATGCTGGCAGGAAAAAAAATACAAAGATGGAAATGGACCGAGTGTTTACAGTAAACACCCAATGATGTAAAAGTTAATGCTAACACCAGTGTTAGCAAACAGACAAACCTTCTGGTATACTCTACCAGAGATCATCATGAGACCTACGTGAGGGGCACACTCACCCTCATGGCTGCTTCTGCTGGCAGGTTTCACCCAGGATTAGGCTCTGAAGTAGAGAAGTCACCTGGACCACCTGGACCACATCCAGCTGGGCTACTGTGCGACCCTAAACTCTCCTCCACCTCTAGCCCCCCTAATGCCTGTATCACCCTTTGATCCCCTTTCAGTGACTCCTCTGCCTTACAAGCCGCTCGCTCCTTTCCCACAGCTGCTGCCACAGAGGCTGGAAGGAACCAGCAGCTCCTCACTCCGAGCCTAGCACACACATGCTGACAGTGGTGTTCAACAGCTAGGGCAGCGTTCATGCCCCATTTCGCACCTTGTGCACCACTGACAATACATGTAGCATCAGGAGCCCCTGTTTATGCAGTTTCCCACCCCCAGCATTATGGGAAAAAAGCAAAGCTGGTCCCCCAGCGCCTATCTGCTCATGCAGCCCCCACCCCCGGGGCCCTCGTTGCTGCCTTTGTAGCTGATGGTAATGCTCATATCACATTTCTCCATAAGGCTTTGCTATATTTTGAGTGCTGCCACAATGCAACCACTTGAAAAGCATCATTTTGAGGATACAGACCGTGATGACAGCACACTTCACCGCTGAAGCACCAGCTCTCCACTGCCTCTGGGAAATGGCTGCGTGGAGCTGGCTCCCAGCGCCACCACCGATCTGCTAACCAGCCCTGCTGAGCAACGCACACGTTGCGTTGGAACAGAAGCTGCTGTGGGAGGACAAGGCTTGCAGAGGCACACTTTTGACATTTGACAGCAAAATGTCACGAGAGCTGCCACACAGCCATGTCCCATCCGTCTCGCTGGAGCTCTGGCTGCAACATGCAACTCTGCCCAGCTATTTGGTGTCAGTGGCAGCACGGGCTCCCCGGGTGGACTGCGATTCACTGCCTGCCACAGATGCTGCAGCAGACGGATGCCCACTCCGCCTGCACCCGCAGCTGGCCCCCAGCACAAGGCTCCTGCCAGGGGGGCATTCTGGCAGTTTCCCCATGGATACACATGACTCTTTTTGTGCCCTACGTACCCCTCCTCTCTCCCTTGGGACACCTCGCCTGGCTTCCTCCTTTCTTAGGGATGCAGGAAGGTTGGTAATGGTACCGCCAGCACAGGGATTATTCAGTTCCCAACGCCAGAGCATCCTCTCTGGCTGTACCATCCCTTGACTCTCCCTTCTCGATTCTGGAAGACTGTAGAAGGATCCCTCCTCTTCCTATTCAGGGTCTGGTAGGCTGGGATTGCCACTGGGGCATAAAATCCAGCAAGCAGAGTCGTTTCAGATTCTGCTGGCTTTGATCAGCTCTTTGTAAAGCCCTTTGCAAGGGGAAGTTTCCAGATGTGGAGAGGCAGTCTGTACCTGAACACTTTTTGCCAAATCAGTTAATTCTTCTTTATTATTTGCAATAGCACAAGCCCACAGTGTGCTGAATGCTGCTCAATCCTACACATACAACAGCAAACACAGCATCCAGCAACGATCCCTGCCCAGAAAAGCATGTCATGGAGGGCAAGGCAGGGAGGCATGCAGGGAGCACCATGACTCTAGACACACCAGTACAACAGCCATTTTATTTTCAAATGTCAAAATTCTTTGCCTTCTCCATTCTGACACCATCTGCTGCTACAAGGGAGATATGAGTTTATTTTGTCAGCTCTTTCTTGAGGTGCTAAGGGTTAGCTGGAGAAGGTGAGGGCCAGCCATTTAATTACCTGTGGATGCTTCATTCCAGTCAAAGTACTACAGAGCAGAGAAGGACGGCTTTTTCTGAGACACCAGTGGTGTGGTGTGGAGTTGCTCATGAATGCTTTCACCCCCATCTACATACACATGTGACAAAAACTCCTTAGCTGCAGCAAAGCTGTAGGTAAGTAGAAAGAGGTGAGGGCTAAGCAACACAGGATGGTTCAGCACTGGTCTGAGAGTCGCCTACCAAGCCGTGTCTGTGCTTTAGGAAGGAGGCAGCATGCTGCAGAGAACGGGGGCATGGAGCACCTTGCAGAGCTGAGCCCTTCAGGCTCTGCACTTCATGCCTTCTAAGTCCTTGCTGAGCACTACATAGAGGCCCCCAAATCCCTCCTCTGTTGTACCCTCAAAGACTGAGGACATCGTGCTAATTTAAGGGTTGGCAGCGCAAGTCCATGGCTCCTGGAGTACATCCTCCTGCCTCTGCAACGCCGCTGAGAAGATGGAGGTGCCACCAGAGCTGGCTCCAAACTGGCCTGCAAGGCTCTGCTTCAATCAGAGGGGGCTGGTGCAAACACCAGCCTTGCCTCCAAGTGCTGATGCGTTAGGTGTGGTGGTCACATACCTCCAGGCATACCCCGCTATCTGTTACCGCTCCGGCCACGCTTTTGGAGTTCCATCCCTGATTGCTTAATATCTGGCTCTGCTCAGTGCTGTCAGCTGCACACGTGGCGCGACACGGTTCAACACACAGCGACACAAGTTTCCTCATAAAATGTAATTCAATACTAGGGGAGGCACGCAGAGATTTAAGAAATAAATGTGATTTGAATGCAAAAAGATTGCATGTGCAGCACGGAGGATGAAGATGCAGGAGCAAGATCACCAGAACTGTCAGCTGGAGGCGATGATGGCTTTTTGGAGGCTGGCTTTTCTGAACAGATTACTGTTTCTACAAATCTCAGTCGGCTCACCTATGAAATTGCATGCCCAATTGAAACCTTTAACTGTGAGGGTTCTTGCTGCCTCCTTCTGAATGGCTATGGTTTCACCGTCATCATCATCTTCCTCAGACTGACCAAGATCCATCGTGTCACTCAAGGGTGAAAGATGGAAGAAGAGGGTTAAAAGCTGGGCGTAGAGTTTCATAGATGAACCAGCAAAAATCCTTTTGTACTGGAGCTGCTTGTTCTTTGAGGGTTGTTCCATGTGAATCCCTGACTCCCACAGAACATTTGCATTAACACACCTGAAGAAACCACACAGCTGTACAAAACAAGCACAAGCAGAAATGTTGCAAAAAGCAATGGTTTGTGTGAGCTTGCGGACAGGGGCACAATACAGACATCTCCTTTTTGCTCCGTGGGGAGAGAGGTATT